GGCGACCATTTTTTCCGGCGAATGAGCACCCACCGAGCTTCCGGTTAGTATTTTTGAGCTTTTCTTGTCATATACCATCGATTCCAATCGTTGGGTACATTTTCCGTCGACCGGAGCTCTACTTTTACCTATCTCTCTACTTATACACTCCGACAACCGTTTTTCTCGACGTTTTTCAAGGTACAACGCCTCGAACTTGCTTTGTATTTTCATATTTTCATTATCTTCGTTGTGCTTGATTACTACTCTTGCCGGAGTAGTCGTGATACATTATGTGGGTTAGACTTGTGTGATAGGCACGTCTTGCCGGGTGTGCCAATTTTCGTGTTGTTGTCGGATTTTTGTGTTTGAGGTTGCTATATACGGCAAGCGCCGGTAATTAGTTCGCGCGTTGAACCAAAGAGGAGTTGGCCGTGTCATGCTATGCAAGCATCATTGGGGACCTTGAGGCCCAATATTTTGAGCTTTCACGCATAAGTGCATTTTCGTTGAGTTTATGGGATCACGATTATTATTTCTCCGAAATGCATACAAGTAGCCTTTATTCGGAGCCGAAGGACGGAACTCTCAAATACTTTGCATGTTATATGCCCGATATTTTGAGCTTTCACTTATACGTGTATCTTCGTCGAATTTATGGAAGCATGGGTATCCTCTCTCCGAGACACATAAATGTTGCCCGTATGGTTTCATGTGTTCAACGCCCAACTGTTCGGATGGCTTCATTTTGAGCTCGATGGCTTTCGGATTATTTTCTCTATTCCCACCGGACGACCACCATTAGACACACGGTGGTGGCCACCACCGTGTAGAGTACGCATTTTCTTTTCCTTTTTTCTTTTTCTTTAGTTGTTTCTTGTGTGTTCTTGTGTTTGTATTCCTTTCGTGTGCTCGTTTATTGAGTTTCCTTTTGTTTTTCGCATGAACTTGTGTGATTGTGTGCTCGATCCTATGCTTTTTGGTCAAGCAATGAGGACATTGCTTTGTTTTAAGTGTGGGGGAGGGATTTTCGTGATTAC